ATGTTTTTGCCTCCTTCAGGCAGGGCCTATGGGCAGTTAATACCATCTGGACAATGCTCATTTGAAAAGGAGAGGTGTTTATCTCTTCTTGAGAGTCCTAAAACAATAATTACAAGAATCAAAGGACAAGCGTAGCGAAACCCAAATGTGGAAGACGGTGAAACAGGCTATCAAATCAGAAACAAACTGTACACACAAGGTCTACTTTGTCTTTGGGTTTCTCTACAGTTCCAGGCAGCCTGTCTGAAGTCAGCCTTCTATCTGCCTACCTCTGGAGCTGTGCTTCCACTTCCATTTTCCAAGCAATAATCAATAGCAGTTTAACAATTCCACTTGTAAACTCTGAGTATTCTAGGGCGGAAATCCCACCAGCCACAAAACAGGATCTATCTGAAAAGTAGAGTGGTTCAATACCCTTAAATTTGTCTCTAAATCACACTATTTGTGGAGTTAGTGACACTGCTCTTCATGAGGTTTACCTTAGAGTTTTAGTCACAGAACATTGGAGGCTGGGAAAACCACAACCTGGCAGGATACGTCTTTTAAGTTTGATCTATTTGCCATACTGGCCACCTCTACAGGACGTCTACCACTTACCTGCAGTATGGGAAACAAAAACAAAGCTAAATTTAATCCCTAAAAGATCCAAGAGCAGCACTGGAAAAGCAAGCAATGAAGCTTCAAAGAATCCCTTGCGAAGGAAAAGACTAAGGAAGTGTGGCACATGGAAAAACCTAAGCTACTGGACAGGAATCAAAAGTGAAGCAACCAAGCTAGAGAGAGGGCTCGGTGGTTAAGACCATTTACTGTCCTTGCAGAAAACCTAGGTTTGGTTCCTAGCATCCACATGGCAGCTTATAATCATCTGTAACTCCAGTGCCAGGGAATTCAAACCTTCTTCTAGCCTCTGTGGGTTCCTGCATTCATGGGCTACACATAAATACACACACCCACCCACCCACCCATACCCACACCCACACACTCTTTTTCTTGACAAAATAAATGTTTTGAAAATGAAGTAATCAGATAGAACCAGATTGTTGAATGCCTTAGGAAAGCTGTTTACAATTAAACCATAGGAGTTTGCAGCCACAGCTGCTCTGGATAATATTTCCTCCCCAATAGTCTTCTGGATCATCTCTTTATCTAGTGATAACCTGAAATTTCTTTGAGTTCAAGATTATTTTACTATTATAATTCGGGGCTTACATGACTTTTACAATCACCTGATCTACTCACACAGGGCAGGAATGCATGAAGCTTCCAACAAGATGCTGGGGTTCTACCTCTAATTTTGAGCATGAACCCCAAATCACAAGGCATGCTAGTCTCACCAACATCTCCTGGTACACTCCTTATTATCCACCATATCATTTGGTTGAGACATAAAACAGCTGAACTAATGGTAAAGAAAGACTGCTCTCTTTCTTATATAATCTTACTCAATACATTTACTGGAGCTCCAGGTTAGACACCTGAGCCTCAGTTTCCCAGATGCCCAGTCAAAATAAAACCTAAGATCTTGTAGCCAGACAAGTCTCCATATCCTCTTAAGTTATTCCAGGGCTCCCAGAAATTGCTGCTATTGAAAATGTGCTTCTGGTCTTGGCAACAAAATGCAATCAGTTAAGAAACAATAGGCACAAGTCATCAAAATACATTCTGGGGCAAAACACAACATCATAAGAGCCTAAATTCAGGAGTACTACATAGTATAAATAAGATACTCACATATGCAACAGAATACAGAATGCCTTGCCATTCTACCCCTAGCACTGTTTCACATGTACAGTGGATTCTGCAGGTTCTCTATCATCTCAAGTTCCTGTATAATCCTGACCTCATGTCATCTTCTGCTTATTGGTTTCTCACAGTTCATCAACCACTCTCACTGCTCCAATCAAACCATTTTCACATCTTCACATCTGTATGGTGCCTCACAAGTGATGTTATTGATCCTACCCACAGTACAACAACCCAAAACAACTGTGGCACCATGCTCCATGGGCCAATGATATCATGAAGTACAAATTCTGAACTGCTTTCTCAGTTAAATTTACATCACAATGATACAAGAAAATGTAGATCCATACTTAAGACTGTCTTTGCTCCTTTCTTTTCCCTTGTTCTCTAGAGACGGGGGCTCAACTATGTAGCCCAAGCTTGCCTCAAACTCCCGATTCTCTGGCTTCAGTTTCCCAAGAGCTGGGATTAACAGGTGTGCATCATGAGCCATGGTGTTTACCACCACTTTTGAAAATGAGCTACCTACTTTGCAGGGCTGTTGGATTTGTGCTATTTTATCCATGACACACACCAACACTATTTTATCTTTAAGCAAGGACGAGATGGATCACATGCTGATCTATGCTAAGATGCTGTGTGAAGGACACTGTCTATGGCCACGGAGTAGGACAAGCTCCAGGGTTAAGGGCAGGGCCTTGGCCTTTTATCATTAGTACTCCATAGATGCCCAGCCAGAAATTCATGTGGGAAACAGAATGCCAGATTTTAAAGCAAGGCCAAAAATGAAGTATCAGCAAACAGGACTGTCAGAGAAAAGAATAGGATCTAGAGTAAAACTCCACACAGCTGATCTGATGGGAGAATGGGAGTTATCTGCAGACGAACCCACATCTAGTATTAAGAATTCTGCAACATAAACTTTAGGCACCAAAACAAGGCTTGCTCATTAACTTAGGACACTATATTGTTGAATACCTCACAGTGTCTTAACACTCATTATTTTCAAGCATTTCGCCATATACACCAGGAAAAAAAAAATCAGAGTAACATAAAACCATTCATTTTAAAAGGAAATCCTATTAATATATAGAACAGAACTTAATTTTTATTTAAAACCTTTTTTCTTAAAAAATCAAATCATCATTGCATTTATTTAGTTAAAAAAACTTTATCAGCTTTGAGATTAATAGCAATAACAACATTTTTAGAGCCTCTCTACTGTCTTTCTCCCTCCCTCCTCCTCTGTCTGTCTGCCTCTTTGCTTCTCTTTGACCCTCTCTCCAGGGTCTCATGTAGTTCAACCTGGCCAAGCATGATCTTGAATTTCCAATTCTTTTGCCTTTTCTTCCACTTCCTATGGCACACATGACCATGCCTGGTTTTATGTAGTTCTAAGGACCGAACCCAGGGCTTTGTGCCTACTATGCAAGCTACATCCCTACTAAGCTACACCCCCAACTCTGAGTTTTAGAAACATCACCTTGTTTCATTCAAACAAATCACTGAGGTAAAGAGAAATATTATCTTCAATTTGCAGATGAAAACTAAAGCAAAAAGTAATTTACCCCAGGTTTAAAATGGCTAAAAAATGGTAGTTCCTCCGTTATCCTGAAATCCTACAGAGACTATTAAAGAATAAACATTAATATGAATCTGGTAAAAACAAAAACAAAAACAAACAAAGCGCCCTTAACACTATATAATATATTCCTGTTAGGCACATTTAAAAGCATCAGTTTCACAAATGTGGATCTTGCTCTTATCTATTCACATCTCCACTGGTGACTCATCTGTTCACTTAAACTTCAATTTATATAAAAGTCAAACAAAACTGACACATATGGGGAGTTGATTCATAACAAGGAAGAAGATACAGTACAGTAATTACTTATTTGACAAAAATATTTCCCATTTTATCACAAAATACATTTGAGGTGCCTTTTAACAAGCTAACCAATGTCTTTATCTGTATGCACTGAATTAACACATCTAAAAGTAAAGGCATACATGAAAAGTTAGGCTAGGTGTAGCAGTACTAGGTTCTTGGATTTGAACCAGCTATGTGAGGGTAATTGTTTATTTCTCTCAGGACATGAAAACACGGAAATAGTTTCTCTTAAAAATTCACAATACAGAAAAACACTAAAACCCACCACACAGTGAAACATTTAACTTTTATTTAAATATTTAATTCTTATTTATTTTATCATTTTAATTAGTTCTAACTTAAACTATTTCTCATTTCCTTAAACAAGCTCGTATTATTACACACATTACTAAAAGTGCACTTTTCTACAAGAATGTTCAGATTTAAAGTGTTGTCTGACACAGCCAGGTGTGGTGGCAGATCCCAGAGCCAGAGGCAGGAGGATCTCTGTGAGTTCGAGGCCAGCCTGGTATACAAAGTCCAGGGTAGCCAAAGCTACACAGAGAAACCCTGTCTTGAAAAACCAACCAACAGCCAAACAACAACAACAAACAAAAAGTATCTGACCCTGCTCATGGGAATTCAGCCTCTGAGCAATACTTCCCCCTGGTTTGTTAGCTGTAACTCAGTAGTAATTTGTACAGCTCCTATTCAAGCAGAGTTAGATGCTTATACTTTCTAGCTATTGCTCTTCTCAGCAGAGTAAGGGAAATCTTATGTTATATAAAAGTAACACAATGATAACACATGTTTAACAAATAGTGATATCTTTGTTATTCTTGGTAGGTTTTGGTTTTTGTTGTTGTTGTTGAGACAGGCTCTTGCTATGCAGCCCTCGCTGGCCTAGACCAGGCTAGACTTGAATTCACAGAGCTCTGCCTGCCTCTGCCTCCTGAGTGCTGAGATGAAACACATTTGCCATCATGCCAGGTTATTTTGGCTGGCTATTATGTATGGCTAATAAAAACTACTCTCATTGGTTTCTAGACTCTTGGCTTCCCATATAACAATGAACTACTATGTGCATCAGAATGAAAACAAATTAGTGATGAGCAGCAAGTGGCTCAGGTCAGTTAGCCTTTAACCTGAGGTTTTGCAGTCCTGGTACCCACCATGGTGAATGTACATAGAAGACACATGAGAATTATTAGATTGTTAGAATGCTAACCAAGACAAGCATGTTTGGTGCCCAGCTCTTTCTATTACCTGGAGACATAAGGAACTAGAACACATTCACTTGGAGTACTTCAGTAAATAAGAGCTGACAGAAATGAGCCAACAGACTCTGTATCAGTGTTCTTAGAGAGAAAGAGCCAAAAAGGATGACAGGTTTGTAGCAAAGCTGCTTACCTTGCAAACGGAAAGTATATTAATATTTATCAGCTTCTTGATAGTCTGCAAAAAAATTGGGTAATTTAATATAATTTTACCAGGAAAGTAATGATGTTACAAATATACTTTGGGGTGACACATCTGAAACTTCTTTAGATATTGCAAAGAAATGAAAATACAATAGGAGCTGGGGTCGAGACGAAAATTTTGCTTTATCCCAGTGTTATATTTGTAACAAAAGCAGTAATTCACACTAATATGAAAATGTAAACATAAATGAGCAAGTCAAATTTGAAAGTGGCGGGACACATTAAATCCAAAATAAAACAATCAGTAATTTCCTCTCAACTAACAAGGGAAGTAGAGATAACTGAAGAAAGTTTCAATTGATTTCAAAAACTGACATGGTCCTTCAGAGATGTAACTTCTTAGTTTTCATTAAAAGATCATGCATGTATCAAGGCTGTAGCTTTCATTTTGGTAAAGCTAGTTTACTGGCATCAATTATGCTGCTATATATTAACATATTTATGACTTTCTAAACTAATTTCTGATGTCTCAATACTTAAAATAGAGCTATCTTAATCTAATAAAAGCAATAAAAATAAAATTAGAGCTATTATTGACCCTGGTACTGTATAAAATTTTTCATTCAATTCTTCTAGCATTCCTATGAAGCTGCTATTTTACATTTATGGATGAATAAAAAAACTATCTATGGTTAGGTTCATCCCCACAAGAGCCAAGCTGTGAACCGTAGACAGCTGTACAGCTGGACTCTGATGCTCAATCCCAATCATTCTTCCACACTGTCTCACTGAGACTTTCATGCATTCTTTGTGTTACCATAATAAACAAACAAAGACTCACATTGTCCAAGTCTGGAATTTCCAAAAAGTATTCCGGATACTCATATGACATTCCCACGTTGTTCACTGAAATAAGACAAGACTATTAGGTAGCACATTTTTAAGGATGTACTGAAATATTGAGTTTAACCTACTGAGACTAAAAATGACACATATAACTACATGAAATATAATTCCTGCCCAGCGTGCCCTTCCCCAGAGTTGTCTAAAATCCTTATTACTCTAGGTTAAATGCTCTTTCCTTCATGAAATCTTTCTGTACTTACCATCTACATGCCTCCCCATCCATGTTAGCTCTCCAGGATGTGTATTCTTCTTCTGTACTACTCATTTACAGATAATGCCAATCATTCCTCTGCTCCTTACACTTTCATGTTGTAGTAGAAAGAACAGAGAGTTCACAGTGCGGAGACTGGAAACTTGGGTTCTAGTTACAGTCATGGCACAAAATGTGTGACCTGAATAAGTCATGTCCAGTTCACATCTCATCCTGTTCATTGCTAATGTAAGCGGTTACTCAGTCATGTGACAAATATTTGCCACATGCTTGTAGGCAAGATGTGTGCTGCTAGGAACTAGAAACTAGAGTTTATGACCTAGTACGAAGAGAAAGGCTCCCAAGCTAAACAATCAATTATTTCACAACAAAGTTCCAGTGTCATGATAGTCCATTATTAGAGAGCCCAACACCAAGGCTTTCTTGAGGGCAGGTCAAACCACATATCTCTGATAAATGGTCTATGGGAGGCTGAAGCCATTACTGCTTTCTCTGAATCCTCCGTGCATAATTATCTAACCTCAGCTTGGCACTGATATACTTAAACATATTAGGTCCTATATTTAAATACTCAGTTATAGGTGGTTTCTCTAAACCCAGAAAGACAAAGAGAAAACATTCTGAAGATGGATAAAATATCCCTGACTTTTACATTAATTAATTAAATCACAAACTAGATTATCTATTTATCTACATCTAACTCCACAGCAAGCCCATTACGTAATTTCTAAATTATACCCTAGAAACTAAAATCCATAGCACTTAAAAAGAACATGCCCACTCGGATGCAATGGTGCACACCTGGAATCCCAGCACTCTGGGAGGCAGTCCAGCCCGGTCTACAAAGCTAGTCCAGGACAGCTCTGTACACAGAGCTACACAGAGAAACTCTGTCTCCAGAAACAACTAAAGTACATGCCCCTGCCCAAGATCACAGGGCAAGCTACGCCAGAAATCAAACTCAGATATCTGACTGCAGAGTCTCAGCTCTAGTCACTAAAACTGCCATACACTTTCAACTGGGTTTCCACTTAGGAAAAGTGATCAGTAATAATCGGATAATAAATAAAACACTGATAAGCAATGTTTAACAAAAACCAAGCACCAGGAAAAAGTTTCAGTTGCAAAAAGCTAACAAAATTATGGTAAGTTTGTTAAAGCCAGATGATCCCAATAGGAATACTTTAGACTAACTAAATTAATAGGGAGAAGGAGTGGGATAGCTTCCGATATTTAACTAAGTCTGTCACTTGTGCCTAAGCCTTCAGAGTTTCCTTGAAAAAGTCTGTGAGTGTGGCTTGAACAGCTCACTAAACCCATCTGAAAACAGGAAAGTCAATAGATAGGAGTCATGTCTGCCTGAAGAGGGAAAATAGCTAGTAAACAGTAACAGTGGTTCTAGGTTCATTTTTATCTTCCTACTCCCTCTACTAAGTATCTCAGCAATCACATTTATAAAAGATGTTAAAAATTAAACTAAATAACCAAAGGTAAGTCCTTAAGTTTGGCTGAGTTTAGTTTAACTACTGTAAAGTTATAAAAAATAAATACTTTCTAATTACCAAATAATATAATTGTAAATCTTTTAAGAACCAAACTGGTGGGCTCCTTTTGTTATTGTTCTGAAATCTAGAACTCTGTAAGTAGAACACTTGACTTGCTATCTTAGTATGTGCTAAGCACAGAATTGAACTGAGGAGGCACACAAATAACTCAGGAAGCTGGGGCGTGTTATTCTGGCTGGAGTACTAACAGCAGACAGATTTCTGATCTGCCTCTGCTAACTGAGGAAATGAAACCAGCAATGCTCTCTGTACGTACAATGAAATTGAGGAAACCTATCTAACAGTACCATGTTAAACAAAAAAAAAACCTCTTTATCCCAAAGTAATATGCTATTGTGTAGGAGGACAGCGTTTAGTACCCTAAATGCCCAACAAAAACTGTGGAAACTAGAATTGGACTTGAGAGCATCAAGTCTTGGCTTATGCACTGGATGTGTAAAAAGAGATATCAATCTCCTGAGAACAGAAGCACAGCAGGCACCAGGGCTCATCTCTGCTATCCTGTGTGCATCTTCTGCTGTGGAACCCAAGCTAACTATCATCTTTCACAGTTATGTGCTGTGAACAAATGTTGTTCCTCTCGACTCTGCGCAAAGAGTAGCTCCAACCACAGTGTCTCGGATGCTGAAATTTTATATTCAAGGCACTTTCGAGTCAGCAGATTCTGGATGAAGCTTTGCTTCGAAGTCACCATCTCTATTTAAGGACTTAACCCACTAAAGATGGAGACGGTCACCTTTAGCCTTCTTACTCAAAGTTCAAATCACAGATGAGACTGAAAATCAGGCATCACACCTACAACTGGAGGAATTATATCACAGGCCATTTTTCTTCTCTGTAGCACTCATCATTTCTAAATCATCTAACCCCTGACAACTACCTATATTCCTCCTACAATCCTCTCCCATGGGGAGGGTACTAAGCTTTAACCATCTGACTTTAGCTGCCCATTTGTGGGTCTTGGTGGACATGTATGTGTTAACAAATCTGTCTGCCATTTCTCCTGCTACTTTTATTGTCAGATCATTTCAGCAGGCTGTACTATCAGACCTGCTGAGGGAAAGTTTGAGTGCCACTACACTCTTCAGTAACTGTTTACAGTGAGTGCACAATACTGGGAATCTTGGAAAAAGGCAAGCCCATTGCAGTTTTATTTTGAAACAGTAGGTGACAGCAGTAGCCAAACAGCAGATGGGAAGTTTTCAGTGAATGGCTGAAGAAGTGTTGTGGCTGAGGGAGTGTTGTGAGTAGGAGTGAAAGATGGAAATACTCCCATTACAGCTTAATCTCATTAAGGATGGGTGCAAGCATTGCTATCGCTTTATGCACTTATTACAACATTCCCTACAGGGTTCACAGAAACAACCTCATAAGTTGTTCTAACCTTATTCAGAAAGCTGGCAATCTCTCCTACTGGGTGGGGGCTTAAATTAGCACTAAACCTGCACCTTCAGAGAATTTTGTAGCTTCTTCCTCCAGGAACCACAGTTCTGTGTTGCTGCTCCCACCCCCAGGGCCTACAAAACCCTTTGAGTAGTGAACACATTACCTTATTCAGAAAACAAAACAAACTGTGTAACTTCAGAATTCTCACTGTGCCAGTAACTGGTGCAAGGCCTTGGACACTGAAAATCTTCCCAATACTCCTTATTAGGTTCTAAGACTAGAAGAAGCCTTTCTTTATTTTTTGTTCTGTAGCTGTGATAAAAACACCCTGACAACCGAAACTTAGGGGGGAAAAAGATCCATTTCGGCTCACTGTTCAAGGTCATAGATCAGCATAGCAGGAAAATGAGCATAGGAGGAGCTGCGTTCATTCTGTATCTACAGTCAGGAAGCAGATGACGAATGTTGTGCTCATCTCACTTTCTCCTTATGTAAGTCCAGGACCCAACCCTGAGAAATGCAACCACCCACTTTTAGGATGGCTCTTCCAATCTCAATTAACCCGCCAGAGGAATGTCCAGAGGCTAAATAATCCTTCAAGGGTATACATGAAGGCTTTTTCTCAACTAGATGATTCTGAATCCCACCAAGTTGGTGGTTGAGATTAACCATCACAGAACCCAATGAAGAGGTGGGGCTGAGAGAGGACAGAAGCTAGACAAACCAAGAATAGGGAAGTAGAAAGGCACTGGTAGTAGGCAGAGATGCCATCCCCATACTTGGTTCTTGTGGAGTGGATCCTTGAAGGAACAACTAGCTGGAAGCTGCTCTTAGCTACACTGAGGGCTCATTTTGAATCCCAAAGAATACTACTGGCACAGTAAATGCTACTTAGAAAGAAGACTTGGAAAATCCAGAGTAGTTCTGGGTGTTATATTAATATTTTAAATTATATCACACTGCTTAAAATAATTTCCACTATCATTCTTTAAAACAAGGCAAGATTTTATTTCTTCAAAGTTCATGTGCTGCTGACCTTTATGGGCCTAGAATCCTCAATCACAACTAGTCGCCAGAGGTAGGGTGATGTCATTAGAAAATTTGATTTCTGGTATCTGCATTGGACATGAGGGTGGAGCAAACAACAATAAATTACTAGAAAATGAAAATCCATTCATGCACTAACTCCACACAGACCACTTACAACTGGCTTCATTTTTTACATTAACCAGAAACATAAGAAATTAATGTGGTTTAAAAATACTTTGCCTAATGGCTGGGCTTCCAAATATAAATCACATAACATGAAGCATTCTCTGTTTCCTTCTTATGACACCAAGGCAGTAAGGACAGCTTATACTTCCATCGAATTCAGTTATACATGAAAACCCAGTCACAGTACTGAGAGCTCACTAGGAAAACCCACTTTCAACAATGATATCATTTCATTGTATTTTTAAATAAAAATTTTTTAATGTAGACTTCAGAAAAAGCAAACACACCAAAGGCTCAGTGAGTGTGTATGAGGGTGTGTGTGTGTGCTTGCACACGTGCATGCGTTGGCAAGTAGGGGTGGGGTTGGAAGTGGAAAAACACTTTCTGTCTTAAATTTTTGTAAAATGATCTGGGGTTTGACCTCAGTGGTAGAGCACTTGCCTAGTATGTGGGAGAGAGAGTTCTATCTCCAGCACCATAAAAGAACAACTGTAAAAGTCTACAGAACCCACAATTCAGCAAAGCCAGGGTTCAGCCCTGCTCCATCATCACTGCTTCTACAACTGGGACATAAAATAAGCCTGTTTTCTTACTATTCTTCATACATGAAATCGGAACAATCA